CCCTCTTATGACTGACTAAAGATGAAGCTTATGGGGCATGCCAGAAAGGATGGGGTCAGCAAGTCAGTATAGATTATATAATAGGGGTTCTAGGCCACAAGGTCTTTTTTATAATAAATAAATACCTTTACTGCATACCCAAATCATAAAAGAGAACACATTTCAAACAATTGCTGTGCTGCTGATTTGCAAGTTCTGCACCCAAAACCTTTTCACTTATTAAAAGTTTGCACTGCTATAAGAAAATCAGAAACATTACTTGCTAGACATTTTAAGGGCTTTCCATATGAGGACACTACGTTTGGAAAACAATAGGCAGGCTTCTATTCTTTATAAAGCAAGGCAGAATCAGCTGTTTAAAGAACAAGCTATTGAGATCAAAGCAGACCTCGATTTTTGCCCTTAAAGGTGCTACTTATACTGAAATTTTTAGGAGCCAACTATAAGTACTATATTTTGCAGATCCTCATTTTTGTCACAGAAAATGCAAGACTTTGATACACTGATTGTGGAAATATTTTGTCAGTTACTGGGCCAAAACATGTTCTGCAGTTATGTGCAATACAGATTACTTAGTCAGGGCCATACTTAACCATGAGAGGAGGGAAACGTTTACCTCTTCCTCTCACAGGTATGTACAATGCAGACACAACACATTCACTGCATTTGTGATAGTGGATGCAGCTCCCTGCAAAGCCACCCACTGACAATGCTGTCAGATTCCTACTCATTTTCCGGGGGTAAAAATAAAGGAAAGAGCAGCCAATTAAAATAATAGCATTTGTGCTGTTATGCTTGTTTTAATAAAAGCATCTAAATAAAAAACAGACTGTTAAAACCCCCCCCCCCCCCACACACACACACACACACCCTACAATGAAGCCCCATACCCCCCCGCTCTTAAACTCACATATAGTGAAGCTTGCTGCCCCTCTTCTTACATTCACATAGAATGCAGCCCCCTATTCTTAAATTCAACTACAAGTCAGCCAGCTGCCCCCACACACACAGTTACATAAAATGCTCCTCACAAACAGTGCAGACTGCAGCCCTTCTTCCTAAACTTACATTAAATGCCCCCCCATGTCCACTTCCATTCACACATACAATGCAATCTGCCCCCGCTCCCCTACCCCTCACACATAAACTTACAATGTAGCCCCTTCTCCCCCCTTGCACACACATTCATTGCAGCCTCCCTTCCTTACATATACATACACTGCCTCACCTCACATATCCATGCAGGCAGCCCCCCCCCCCCCCCCCTTCCTCAAACATGCGTACAATGCAGCCCCCCCCCCCCCCCCCCCTTTTTTTTTTTTCTTCCTACTCAACCTTACCTCTTCTTTTTAACCTAACACAATGGACACAAACCACCACTCACTCCAATGGCAACACCCTTGACCTTGTATTCTCCCACCTATGCACTCCCTGTAACACCCCTTTTCCTCGCTCTCATTACAACTTTATCAATTTCACACTCTCCTTGTTTCCTACCTCCCATGCCTCCAACCAGCAAACAGTTACCCGTAGAAACCTTCACCTCCTCAGCCCTTCCCTTCTTCACTCTGCTACTGAATGCCTCTATGATAAAATTGTGCTCCTGTCCTGCCCAGACCTGGCCACATATGTCTACAACAACTTACTATCATCCTCCCTATCATCTTCCCTGGACACACTTGCTCCTTTATATATTCTGTAAGTAACCGCCTTAAATTGTTAACCAAAGTCACTATATCGCGCCTGATGCAGATAATTATTATCTTCTAAATACAATGTTATATATATTGCTGCCACTTTCCTTAAAAAAATCAAAAAATTGTATAGTATCACCCCTACTCCAGTGAATACAAGTGGCGCATGCATTACATAATGATATCATGATACCATGATATGGTGAAGTGGAGTTTTTCAATGATCCTGGCAACCAATCTTAGAAGGGTGATTCTTGGAGGAACCTCCTGGTCTAATTAATGGATATCCTCTTGATTATGCTTTAAAAAAGGTTAGTTCTGGTGAGTGCACACTTGAGTGGGGGTGCATGGTGGGCTCAACACAGAGTTTCAACACTTTTATGTTTTTTACGTCACATGAATTAATTTCAGCACTGGACTTTAATTTCTATTCTATCACAGGACTTTTTCTGAGTTTTTGTGTTTTTTTTTTTTTTTCACGGGATACGTGGACTGTCACAATTTTGTGTCATATTCACTTAGTTGTTTTATTTATTTTCTGTTACAGCAATAATGGTGAAGACAAAGCATGACACAATATATTAATGTTAAATGATGTTTAATGATAGCATTATGAAATGTATGCGCTGCTTGTATTCACTGGAGTAGGGGTGATACTATACACTTGCTCCTTTCTCTACATGCAGAACCAGGCCACGCCTGTCACAAACAGTTGACACCAGAAGTCTCAAGAGATGCAGCCGTGCTCTTGAGTGAGCATGGCGTAAAAACGAAATCCCTGCAAGACTTTGCCCTCTACAAATCCGCTCTTCTCTCAAATACAACCTTGGCCTCCATGCTGCTAAACAAACCTACACTGCAACACTCTCATAAAAACCCTCTCATCCAATCCTCGTATACTCTTTTCTACCCTTCATTCCTTACTTCATCTCCCACTGCCTCCACCCACCAACTTACTGCCCAGGAGATTGCCAGTCATTTCAAGAACAACATTGGCACAATTCGTGATGAGATCTCCAGTGTCAAGCTTTCTCCTTCAACCAGCATACCAGGCTCAACACCACACTCAATACTTTCCTCCTTTGACCCTGTTACCACTGAGGAATCTTCCAAACGCCTTTCCGAGGTTCACCTCACTACCTGTCCCCTGGACCCTGCCCCCTTCACAGTTATTGCTGCCTTTCTGCTCTTTCCTAAGTTCTCTAACCCATGTTTTGAAACCTCCCTTCAGTCTATTATGAATGCTGCTGCTAGATTTATAAACCTTACCAACTGATCAGAGACTGCTGCCCCTATCTGCCAATCCCTTCATTGACTTCCGCTAGCCCAATGCATAAAATTCAAAATACTAACCATAACGTAAAATGCCATCCACAACACTGCCCCTAGCTACATCACTAACCTCATCTGCAGATATCGTCCAATCCGCTCCTCCCAAGACAACATTGCTTTCTAGCTCCCTTGTCACCTCCTCCCCAGCTCGCCTCTAAGACTTCTGCAGAACCTCTCTCATCCTCTGGAACGCCCTACCCCAGTATGTCCGGTCAGCACCGACCCTGTCCGCCTTTAGGCGATCTTTGAAAACTCACATATTCAGGAAAGCCTACCCCACCTCCACCTAAGAACTGTACTTGAGTCATCAGATCATCCCCTGCAGCTATCTCCTTTTGCACCACCTTCCCCTCCCTTTATATTGTAGGCCCTCCTATTCCTTCTGTATTGTAATTTTACTGTACCCCTTTATATGGTAAAGCGCTGTGCAAACTGTTGCCGCTGTATAAATTCTGTATAATTATAATACCTTCACAATAGATGCCTTTGGTGGACCAACATAAGCTTTCTTGGCCTTCCACAGAGCCTTTTTTTCTATTCTGGGAGGCTGAGCCAGCTGTTGGTCCAGGCATCCGAGTGGATCCTGACCATATGGTTGGGATCTTTTCAGAGCCTGGACCCTCTCTGTGATGTCATCCAATAGTAAGCTTTAGACTGCTGTCGGCTGAAAATGGGTCAGAGTAGTGCAGAAAAAAACTGCACTCCTGTGATCCCCAGGAGAAGTATAGCTAATAGACATGTGCGTTTTATTGAATATTCACCACACATAATTACCAAATTTGCTATATTTACCACAGCATTGATATTTTAATTTATAGAACAGACTCCTTTAAAATGGTTCTAAAGGTTTGAAGTTTTTTTTTTACCTTAATATTAACCATACACTTTAAATGTTACTAAATCCAGAACACTGCATTCACTATATCTGCTCTCCTACAGTGCACAGAACATGAACATGCAATTATGTTAGTACATATAAACTGCTAAACACCTTTTCTCATCAGCAGTTAGACCAGTCTAACCAGTAACCAGTGACTTCTATCAGTGTCCAGCAGAGCACTGGTTACAGCTTGTAGGAGGAGTTTTTATTCTCCCCGGTTGTCCTATGAGACTGCAGGACCCCTGACTGTCTGGACAGCACTGATTGGCAGTGTGCTGATCACGTGCCATCTACCAGAAAAAAAAAAAACTCTCTAGCAATACACACCAAGTTGACGAAAGGGAAGATCAGAGAAGACAGGATCACAATGCAAAGGATTAAGCCCCTAGGTTCCACAGTGAGTATAACAAGCATGATTTACAGCATATACAGACTGATTTTACTGTTGTGGGTTTAGTAACACTTTAACATCAGCTGCTACCAGTACTCAGTGTATGTGACCACAAAGGCAAGAAACACAGCAGAGCCTTTTAAAACAAAAGATATTTGCTTGTCTCTGTACTTCCATCACAGATCCAAATACATTGGGTTATGTTAGAATGGATTATAAAATGGAGCTCTGCAAACCATTCCTTTATGCCTCTGTGGCCAAATTCACATCCAGATCCCCAGCATAATGTTATAGAGCCATTTATTCCAAAAGAGCAAACAGGAATAGTTGGCAATCATCAGTGTAGTGTATGGAAACCATGGCTTGTGGACCAAGATTTCAGAGCCTTTGTTGTGAGCTTTGAAGATAAACTTCCCCACAATGTCTAGCTTCAGAGGTGAATCAATGGCTTGCTTTAACTGGTTTTACTGCTTGTTTGGAATGTGTAAATACTTTTGTCTTCATAGCTTGGGCACAAGTTCACTTAAATGATGTCATGCAGAGACCAAAGGTGATGGCAACTTGCAGTAACCAAAACATTAGATTTTACGTCATTGGGCAGAGCAGTATTCAAGGATTGCAGTATGGCTTATATTATTGCTGAACGTTTATTGCTGTTTATTGCATTGCTGTTTCTTTAAATTGCCTGTCCACTTCTTGTATCATGCTGTTTTATTTATCTTACCCCTTACCTCTTTTTCTTCCCTGTGAATATTTGTGCTTTCCTTTTCTAGATAGCAACTTTGTCCTTGGAAACGCTCAACTGCCTCATTCCTACCCTGTGGTGTATTGCTCGGATGGCTTCTGTGAACTCACTGGCTTTGCTCGAGCAGAAGTTATGCAGAGGTCATGTGCTTGTACCTTTCTGTATGGCACACATACCGGGGAGCAAATTCAGCATTGTATCCAGAAAGCCTTGAATGATAAACAAGAGCTAAAGGCTGAGCTGCTGCTATACAAGAAAAGTGGTGCGTAAATGGAATTTTTTCTGCCAAGTACTTCTTACTTCGTATTTGTATACTAATAAGAAGCTCCTTCGTAGCATAAAGGATAAGACCAAATAGGTATTTTTTATTTACTCAATTTGCCTTTTAGATGTTATTCTTAAATTAATTGTCAGCTCTCCCCCCAGCTCCCTCTTATATTTACCTGAGCCAGATCTCGATCCAGTGCTGTGCCCAGGAGCACTGCTCTCTCTCCCTCCTTACTGCACTCAGTGAGAGCAGCAGGAGCCATTGGCTCATGCTAATGTCAATCAAATACAGAAATGAGGGAGTGAAGGGAGGGACCAAGTGGCACTTTGTGTGTCAATGGACACAAAAAGCGTGACTCTGGATTAAGCCAGCATGTGTGCCACCATAGGAAGTGGCTTCCCTTGGTGGCACACAGAGAAGAGGAGCAGCCAAGAGCGTTTGCGGGGGACCCCAGAAGAGGAGGTTCGAGGCCGCTCTGTGAAAAACCATTGCTCAGAGCAAGTACAGATGATAAGTTAAGAATTAGGATGCCTGTCAGTATTTATTGCAGTCTGTGCCTATGTTAGGGAGATTCACCCTCTCGATTTGTCCCATTTACCATTATCATTGAAAATTAAGTAAAAGGAAATCCCACATTTTGGGTTGTCCCCAGAAAAGTAATAGAGGGGAAATATTCCAATATTGGAGACACTAGTGTTGGGGGCCTGGTGTTCTTAAGGAATTCCTGTAATTTGCAGGGATTTCCTCTCACTTCCTGTTTGTCTATGAGATAGGAAATTAGGGCAAATCTCCACAATTTGACACAGACGGCAAAAAAAAAAAAAATTGATGGGTTATAACCCCCCCCCGTTCCATCCAAATTAAACAAAACATTTTGCCTATAGTTCTACTTTAAAAAAAAAAATACAATCACTTTAAAGCACACCTACATTTAGTAAAAAAAAAATAGAAAAAGCCCCACACTTTCTTTACGAAATGGATATGTTGTGAATAGTTATTACTTACCACCTCCGCCTCTGCACAGAAAATTTCTGGGGCACTGTCATCTTGTCTTCCTTGCATTATCTCATCTACTCCGAGTTTTTGAAAGCTTGTGGGAATCTGTCAGGATAGAATTATGGTGTTTGCCATTAAAAAGGCAGTCAGAGGGCACTTAAAGTCTAAAGCTGGCAATGCTCTGGCTACATAGATACGGCTTCTGCCTAGCAGCACTAGATGCATTGGTTCAAAACTCAACTATGGTACTACTTGTATGGAGTTTGTTTTCTGTTCCTGTGTGGGTTTCTTTCCATGCCCCAAATATATGTTTGAAGGTTAACCTTAGAATATTGGCTCCTTGAGGGCAGGGGCTAATGTGAATGTGCATCAGGTAAAAGTGCTTTGTAAATTGTTGGTGCAATATGAAGAACTGTAATAAATACATACACTGATAGATTTTCAAACAAACATTTGCATGAAAAGTCTTGTCAGTACATTCAATAATGCCAAAAACGACTTGACGGATGTCGTTCAAAAGTACTGCAAAATTTTGTTTACTTTTAACATTTGATTTTGGTAGAAATGGAATTTTCCTGAACAAAAACCACTGTTAGGAATTCATTCATTCCAGAAAAACCTTCCATCCTGCTCCTTCCAATTATCTTGCCACTAAGATCAAAAACAAACATCAATTTATCCCTACTAAGCATTAAAATAGAATGAACGTTCCAAAAATGAAAAATTTACCAAAATTCTATTAGTTCATGGCCAGCTTTACTGTTTCCAGCAATTGTTAGACTTCAGAGGATCTCTGACACTCCAGTTAAAGCAGGTCTGAGAGGCTCAAGTCCAAGGAAGGCCAGCAAAGGCAGTTGAACCTTCAGCTGCAGGTCTCAGTTTGATAGATATACTGTATATATACTGAAATAAAAAAAACTGTTAATGATAGCCTAAGAGAGAGACCTGGAGGAACCTTTTTAAATCTGTCTCAGATACATGTTTGTGAATTCCCTGTTTGTGACTCACCATCTTTGGACAGCCTTTAACTCAGATGTCTCCCTGCCTTCAGACAAACTGTTTGCAATGCCATGCCCTGTTCTAGAATCACCTGCCCACCACCAGAAAGACACCTTTTTATTTGTCGTGCTCTATCTAGAGCTGTGGCAGCTCTGTTTCTTCTGCCTTCCACCACCTTCAGTTGACTATATATGCTCCTCCTTGTCTGCCCAACTTTAGTGCGCCGCAGAGCACGTTCCTTCAAAATGCAGGTTTAACATACCTGGGCGAAAGTGTCAGGCTCAGACAATTTACGGAAGCTAAACAAGAGAAAAATATAAATATTTACAAAGTAAGCCTGCACAGTTAAAATTTTGGTATTCCGATTCCTTCATGAGCCCAGTCCTGACTATTCTTAACAAGAATTATAGCAAATTATTGGTGAAGAGAAAAACAAATATAGGGAATGACCATATGCATACAGCAGAACAAAACACACTTAACACACTAGCATGAAAGATTGTTAAGTTTTCCCAAGCCCCTATGTGTGAAATCTAAAATTAAAATACTGAAAAAATCAACCTATAATATGCTGGGGTGGCTGAAAACAACCAAAGTGTTTCCACAATTAAATTAGTATCCCAATAGGTGTGATGTTGCAAATCCCTAAGGAAATATATTGCCACAATGTGCAAATAATACAACCAAATCTAATAAAGCCTAAGATCTCACATCCATATCATAAATATATAAGTGTCAATTGCTGATGACCATGCTCATAAGATACTGGTGAAAATAAACACAATCAAATAACATGAATGTCCACAATTTATATGATGTGCATGTATTTTCTTCAAAGTATACGCGTTCCACCTCCTGTTTTATTTCCAAAACATAAAATCCACCACCATTCAATCCTGCACTCACCTCCACTCTTGGACCTGTCTACTTACAGGTCAAATGCACTTTTTACCCTTATCTGGGATCCTTAGGTCGGCTTCTCTTGTTGTTATCCCATCCTATGTCCACTCTATGCCGCACTCTAATTTTGGTAGCCTGGCCCTTTAAATGTACGATCCCCATTTCTGCAGTGCACTCACATAGAGAGGGATATGCCCATAGTGTAGTATGTTAAAATATTAATTTAGTAAACTCAAAATTGCATTCACAATTGATAAAATATGAACAGACATAAATCACAGATAGCAGGGCCACTGCTCCCGCATCACGTCTGGTCTCAGCCCCCTGATGCCTGACTCCGCCTACATGTGTATCGTCACAGTGACCTGACTTCTTCAGTAGGCTTTATTAGAATTTGTTGTATTTTTTTGCACAATGTGGCAATACATTTCCTTAGGGAGGGGCAACATCACACTTATTGGGGCACTTAACACACTGTTGAACTTTAACTTTACAGTTGAGTGTGGAGACCATCCTTCATGAAACCAACTGAGGAACCATGCTGATTTCTAAAAGAAAAAAAAGCATAGTGAACCAGGTCAACTTAACAGTACTAAATAATAAACCAATGTCAGGGTACTTCCTTTAACTGCCACTTCTTTTGGAATTGTCAAGGATTGTCTCAGTGGAATGGATACAGTCATCCCTTTTTGTATTTTACGCTTCAGGTTCACAGTTCTGGTGCTTGCTGGATGTTGTACCCATCAAAAATGAAAAGGGGGAGGTGGTTCTATTTCTTGTTTCATTTAAGGACATCACAGATGCCAAGACCAGAATGACAGAGAGCTGGAAAGAGACAGGTACTAGAAGAAAATTTCCATATGCTGAGCATTCTGTATTGTACATTTCTTGGATTCTGTTGACAGTGGGAGTATTACATTGAGTACTGATTGAATGCAATTTCTTATTTTGGCAGGAAGGGAAGAGCAGCACAATCGTTTAACAGGGAAAGGTTTCAATGCTAATCGTAGGCGAAGCCGTGCTGTGCTTTACCATCTCTCAGGTCATCTACAGAGACAAAATAGAGCCAATGCAAAACTTGGTAAAGTAGGTACAAAATGAGAGTACTATGTGAATGTGTACTACAATAAAGTGCTAGATAGTAATGCTGTGCCAATTTGATGACCTAAATAAACCTAGAATTATTTTGTTATTTCACATTGAATATTAAATGTCAGAAGAGAGCAGAATATGTACATTTAAGAATTACAACTGTAGAGAACGTTTAGGAAAATTTAATTCCTCCCACAACTGGTTTTGTATGTTTGGCATTATGCCTCACTGCATACGGCTTTCCTAAATCAATCATCTTTGTTAAATCTGTTGCAAAATGTCTTACCTAGAGATCCTGCTAGTAGCAGCTCTTCCTGTCGCAAGCTGAGCCCCACTAACTCAGTCATGCAGTGCATTGTCAGCCTTTCGTGTGAACTTCTTCAGTTGCTCATTGGGTTTCCTTTTAGAGGGACCTGATAAGTTGACCACTGGCCAACAGGAAGTGCTGTTTCTGGCTGGTAACAAAACTTTGCAACAGATTCACAAAAATGATTTGCTTAAGAAAACTGTATACATTGAGGCATGATGGCAAATATAGGGAATATTTAGGGTTTACATTTACTTTAAATGGAAAAACAATTCAAAGGTATATCTGTCTAAGAACCATATTCAAACTAAAAGGTATTACTAAGTTGAGTAAGCAATGCTAAATATCTTGCTTTGTACAGATGTGAGGACTTTATTAATTTATTAATAGCTTTTTTACATTAATTAAACTTCTATTTTAGGGTTACTGGCTTTTTAACCAATTTTGCTTCTTCACAGGGTGTCTTTGGTGAGAAACCTCGGGTTCCAGAATATAAAGTTGTGTCTATGCGTAAATCTCCTTTTATACTTTTGCACTATGGACCCTTCAAGGCTTGCTGGGACTGTTTGATCCTGCTTGCCACCCTCTATGTAGCGGTGACCGTGCCATACAGTGTCTGCTTCAGTAGTGCGAAAGAAGAAGGTACTCCAAGTCCACGCAGCCCACCCAGTGCATGTGATCTTGCTGTGGAAATCCTCTTCATACTAGGTAGTTATGGTGTTTGCAGGGAATAAAGTCACAAATAGATTTCAAAATATGTGAGTTTAGCAGAAATTAGATGTTTGATTAAACTGAAACCAGGATTCTTGTAACCAAGGGTTTAACTAGGACACAAAAGATCGATAGCCTTATTAAGGAACCTATTTCTGAAGTTCACACCTTGTATTTTATTTATTTATTTCACGTAACATATTTCCACAACGTTTGCCTGTTTGTAAATTAAACCTGTATTGAGCAAATATGTAGGCTGCCATTTTTAACTTTTCATCTGAACATTTTAGGTTTCTGGCTGTGAAGATATAATGATATGTTTTCAGTCTTTGAAGCATATATTAGGAAAAAATAAGATTAAGAATTCTTAACTAACCTACTGTATGCTTTTCTGGGTCAGTGGCTCAAAACCTATTAAAATCAGAAACAGCCAGGATAGAGGTCAGCAATGCTGACCTCCATATTTCCCTCAGAACAAAAGCTGTTCTAGACCGTACCTTCACACAGCTAACTACATTTCAGCCATGATGGAAAACAATACCTTTTTGGCAGATAAATTTACTAGACGTGCATTAAATATGAAAATTCCATTTTCTGAAATTTGGATGAATACGAATCTCCGAATGGACAATGGTCAACATCACATGATTTGATAGTAGCTCTGGTCCATGGGAAAATGAATAACATTTTTGAATATCGAACTAGGATAACAAATGTATCCAAATTTTGTTCCATTTGTTATTTCAAAAAGTACATGACGTCAGTCGACATTCTACAATCAGCTCATGCCATTTTTCTTGGTGGGTTGGACAAGAGTCCGGAAATATATTGAATATATACAATGAAAATAATTATTTTATCCCCTGCAGATTTTGTAAGTTTGCAAACTTCCAAATAAATTAAGGGTTTAAACTTTTTTATCATAGGTGTATTTTAAATAATATAGACAGAATATCAACCAAAAATCCAGAAAAGGCACATGATACAAATGTTATAAATTGAGTTGCAGTTCAATGAGTAAAATAACTATTTGATCCCCTACCAACCAACAATAATTCTGGCTCCCATAGACTGGCTATGCGCTCATGTGGTAAACAGATTAGTTCTGTCAATTTAAGAAGGTGCTCCTAATGACAACTTGTTATGTGTATAAAAGACACATGTCCACAGAATCTTTCTTCCATTCAAACATCATCACCATGGCTATGTGCTGTCAAAGGACATCTGGGACAAGATTGTAGACCTGCACAAGGCTGGAATGGGCTACAAGACCATCGGTAAGAAGCTTGGTGAGAAGGAGACAACTGTTAGAGCAATTATTCACAAAAAAGGAAGAAATACAAAATAACCATCAATCGCCCTCTGTCTGGAGCGCCATGCAAAATTTCACCTCATGGGGTAAGGATGATCAAGGGAAAAGTGAGGGATCAGCCCAGATCTACACAGGAGGAGCTTGTGAATAATCTCAAGTCAGTTGGGATCACAGTCCCCAAACTAACCACTGGTAATACAATACGCCGCCATGGATTGAAATCCTGCAGCACCCACAAGGTCTCCTTCCTCAAGAAGGCACGGCACATATACAGGCCCATCAGAAGTTTGCCAATGAACATCTAAATGATTCAGAGAAAGATTGGGAGAAAATGAAGTGGTCAGATGAGACTAAAATTGAGCTCTTTGGCAATAACTCAACTTGCTGTGTTTGGAGGAAGAAAAATGCTGACTATGACCCTAAGAACACCATTCCTACAGTCAAACATGGAGGTAGAAACATTATGCTTTGGGGCTTTTTCTCTGCTAAAGGTACAGGTACAGGGTCCAATGGACAAGGCCATGCATTGTAAAATCTTGATGGGAACCTTCTTCCCTCAGCTAGAACACTGAAGATGGGTCGTAGATGGGTCTTCCAGCATGACAAGACCCAAAACATATCGCCAAGGCAACAAAGGAATGGTTCAAATTGAAGCACATTAAGGTCATGGAGTGGCCTAGCCAGTCTCCAGATCTTAATCCTATAGAAAATTTATGGAGGGAGCTGAAACTTTAAGGTTTCTTGGCTGTTGCTTGGCAACTCAAAGGATAAGTTCATCTTTTGGACAGAAATAATAAATGCACATTTTTTTTTCGGGGGGGGGGGGGGGCCCGTGGCTGGTGCTATGGGAACATGTTACATGTTCTACCCCAAAAATGAATGGAACATGTTCCAAAGGTGAACTTATCCTTTAAGTATTTAGAGAAGATCTGTAAAGAAGAGAGGACTAAAATCCATCCTGAGATGTCTGCAAACCTGGTAACCAACTACAAGAAACGTCTTACCTCTGTGCTTGCCAACAAGGGTTTCTCCACAAACTACTAAGTCATGTTTTTCTTGGGGATCATAAAAAACCAATTTTGGTGAAGTGCTTCACATAAAGAACTAAATATATAAAGTACAATGATATAAAAATATAAAATGCATATAAAGTGACCACGCTGTATTGAAAGATACAAATGATTAGTGCTAAGTATTCCCCCGAAAAAAATATATAAGTGCCAAGTGCTGAGAGTGCAAGACAGGTCATGCGTTTGCTGACTAGATCGTGCCAAAATACAATATATGCAAGGTAAAAGTAATACACAATGACATTGCACACTCTAACTGAAAGTGACAGGTGCTCAGTATGAATATAAATGTTGGTTAAAGATAAAAATCCACAATAAAGTGCAATAACAAGTGCTTGACATTTCATGTGCAAACAATCACTGCAATGTCAGTGCTTCAATTCTTCACTCCAAACATGATGCATGTTAGCATGCCACACGTGTATATCGTGATCCAAAAGTGGCTAAAGTACCTCCTCACCTTAACCATGCGACCCCTAAGGGCCACAATGCTTTAAGTAATAATGCTCCACCAGACTGGGGATCTCTGTAATAATACTCCTGTAGTACCACTCAACCTCCTCTGCCAGGTCAGGTGCCCTCAGATGGTAATACCCCCAGGATTATCACAATGCCATAGAGAGGTAGACAAAGAGCCTCCATAGTAATACTGTTTATTCCATTTAGCAGATGAAAACAAGCCAAAAGAGAACACTCATAGTATAGCAGATCTCATACAGCTGGTCTCTCATGTGCTGTGGGTGTACTGCAAGGTGCTGGGTGTCCAAAGATGGCGTCTCCCTTGTGCGTAACCGGAAGTACATCACCACGCTCCACGCGTTACTCCACGATGTCACGTGGCTTCGTCAGCAGGGATCATATAATTAATTTCCCCACATCTTTCGGAAAAATTGCTAAATTATTTGAATCCACCCAGAACAACGAATATACGAAATGAATGCTGAAGATACAAAATAAATTCAGACAACTAATTGAGTCAACATAATGAATATGATGAAATTAAATTCTACAATGGACAAAGGCATCCGAAATTAAGCAAAACAAAAATTTCTGGCATGCACATGTTTAAAATTTACCAAAGACCTTCCGCTATTTTTGCCTAAATATATTGACTCATTTTATGCCATTCCTATATAAGTATGATCTATTATTTTCAGAACGTATTTTCTATTTTTTGTTTTTAATGCAGCTTAGTTTATCTGTTTATTACTATTCTTTTTGCTTTTTAATTTAGACTGTAAGCAGAAGAAAGGTTTAAGTTCAAAACCGAGCAGTGTGGTGAAACAAAAAGCTATCATTTTGCTGAAATAAAATATAAAAATATACAAAAGAAGCCTGTTTACAAAAACAGCTGCCAGATATCTCTGCCCCCCAAGAGCCAATCATTCCCCAAATAGATGCTCCCATCTTGCTTCTTGCAGGGCATAGAGAAGTTTAGGCCAGGCTGTCAATCACAGCATGTGTATGTCAAAGTCACCTATGTTTTTCTGCATGTGAGCGTGATAAAGCATGTGTGCAATCCTCTTTAAAGATAAAAGTGCTTCAAAATAATTTAAGCTTAAAGTGCTTGTAAAGGCTGAAGGTTGTTTACCTTCATACATTCTATGCATGAAGGTAAAAAACCTTCTGTGTGCAGCAGTGCCCCCAGCCCTCTCAATACTTACCTGAGCCTCATCGTGGTCCAGCAATGTGAATGACAGCCTCGGCTGTCACTGGCCTCTGCCTCCTCACTCATTGGCTGAGACAGCAAGCAGGAGCCATTGGCTCCCGTTGCTTTCAATCACCGTCAGCCAGCCAATGAGGAGAGAGGGGGGGGACCAATCAACAGCTCCATGTGTGAATGGACACAAGGATCAGTGGGTGCCCCCATAGCAAGCTGCTTGCTGTGGGGGCACCCGACAGACAGGAGGAGCCAGGAGAGCCTGTGGGGGACCCAAGAAGAGGAGGATCCAGGCTGCCGTGTGCAAAACTTCTACACACAGCAGGTAAGTATAGACATGTTTGTTATTTTACAAAAAGAAAATTAACCTTTAGAATCACTTTAAGATTCTAACCTTTTCTAGATTTGCAGATAGACAGCTTCTGCAGTTTTGTCTCCTAGGCCATGACTCCTGGTCCATTTGTTTCCTTATAAAGTCTGTAGGGTGTTCTAGAAAGAATGGGGAAGGCAAGGGGAGGGTGTTAGTGATATTAAAGGCAGATTTTTGATTTTTTATAACAAACATGTCATACGTACCTGTTCTGTACAGTGATTTTGCACAGAGCAGCCCCGATCCTCCTCTTCTTGGGTCCTCGCTGGTGCTCCTGGCTCCTCCCTCATGCTGAGTGTCCCCATAGCAATCTGCCTGCAATAGTTGCTGGTGCAAGGCTTAAATGTTTCATGCAGGACTAGCCACTTAATGCTTGATCAGCAAGGGAAAAAAAGAAAGGAAAAAATATCCCAAAAAACTGTTGCACATTCCATCCTGCCCTCCCCTTCCCCCCCATTCCAGGCATGCTCATCTGGGATAGACCCTAACATGCAGGACTCCAAAACCCAGAATGGTCTCTATAGTGGGTGATTTACCAATTTTTTTCCCCCAGAGTACATCAGGAACTACAAAACTACTATGCAATATACATTAGTGTCATACCAACTTACCACAAGGTAAAATGAAAATCACAGGGCGACTTATCAAGCTGCAACTGCGGGCACTCAACTTGACCGCCAGTGACCACTAATGGCATGTAGGAGTGTGGGCCTGTTAAGGAGTAAGTTTAAAAGCATGTTCTAATATTTAAGCCCTAGTAGATTAACTATCTAGCCAAGATCACCAAATGTTATCAATTGTTTTTGGACACCCTCTACTTAAGTAGCTTTATAATACAACATGGTTTTATTGATCATCCCTTTCCAAAAAGACAGGGGAGGTGCCGTCAGCTTCTTCCAATGGAGAATAATAGCTAAGCAGTGTACGTTGTGCCCTAGTAGGAGCTAAACCTTCTACCAAACCCAAAAGACAAACTGATACAGTTAGTGATCGTTTTATGGAGGTAACCCTGGAGATAACCTGCAGTATATCATTCCGAAATCACTATATCACTGGGCATTACCAGAATATATGTCCAAAATCAGCTGGGGAGTGCGTGCATCGCCAACACTCTGTGGAGAAAAATAATATGTAAAAATTTTAAATGGATCAGACGATCCCTAGCTGAGACCAAATGTGTAAAATGAAAATCCCACGTCATCCCAATCTCCACTATCTAGAACAGGTACATCCTCCACACATTTTACCCTACACTTTTGAGCCGAAGCTGGAAACCATTCCTTACAAAGCTCCGATAACGGTTTATTAGGAGATTGATCCATAAGAATGTTCACAAGGTTTGTGGGTCTAGTCACTGGCTGTGATGAACAGTAGTGGGAGCCAATGGTTCCTGCTGATGTTTCAGTCAATGATGAAGAGCTCCCGAGGAGCCTCTGCTCTCATGCACACCGCTGGCGAAGGGGTACAGGTAAGAGGGGAGGGCTGGGGGGCTGCTGCGCACAGAAGGGAAAAAACCTTGAGCCTTTACAACCACTTTAAGCTTTGTTTATTTGAAAGTTCCAGTGCAGCAACATGTAACAGTTCAAAATTCTCCCATGACTACTGCAGGTAATGTCATGCCTTGAAACTGTGCAGATTAGAATTTAAAGAATTCATCCCGGGCTTTGCACATCCTCCAAAGTGTAGCTTTTTCTCAGCACCTCTATAGTTCAAAAGGCAGGCCCTGTGAAATGTGTGTGATACCGCAATGCCTACTCATAGGGCATAGTGAATATGTGTCACAGAAATCAAGAAAGTAAATATGTGGGGATCTTCACAAAGTAAGTTTACAAACTTGAAGATCTTTCAGATTAATAGGAGTAGGCTAGAAATAATTTAAATTCAAAGTGGAAATGAACAGAGGAATTTAAATTTTTTTTTTCCATAGCTACACTTGAATTAAGCTGTAGGTCTTGTTTAAGATTTCACATAGTCTGAGACTAATGCTACATTTTTACATGGTCTTCTATTGATAAACAGATATCATTCTGAATTTCCGCACTACATTCGTCAGCCAATCTGGACAAGTGGTATTCTCCTCACGTCTTATCTTTATCCATTACATCAGGACATGGTTCCTGCTGGATCTTCTAGCTGCTCTGCCTGTGGATCTGCTCTATAGCTTCAAAGTCAACATAGTGAGTGGCCTTTTCTTCAAAGTATATAACCTTTTTCTTTTGTGTGAGACTTGGGGGGAACTTTGGGTAATAAACTCTCTGAAAGGCTTTGCATTCTCTAACATTGACTTACTCTGTGGTGCAGTGGGTCAATAAAGGTGATTGTTAGACTGTAATACTGGCAATAACGTTTTTATGCAATGAGACTGTACAAACACAGTGACAGTGGAGATGATCAGTGTAATGTGGTGTTACCACAGGCACAGACTTCATTCTTTTCTCCATTCTCTAAAACAAAAGCAAATTTTATTTTGGCATCTGAAACAGCTACAGTTATTAAACTGCTCCCATTTGAATGTGGTAAACAAAGAAATCCTTCCAAATTAATTGTAATGCACACCAACAAAAAGGGCACACTAGATTGGTTGAATGTATCCCTGGGCCAAGAGAGCACCATTTCTTTTATCCCTTTTTTTTTTTTTTCTTCCCATTACTAGCTGCAACTTCGAGCTCTGCTAAATCTTTTCTGATTCATGCTAATATTCATGGGTTTGTGACAGATGTGATGTTTTATCAAACTTTATATCCTTAATCCTCGTACACACAATAAGAATATCGGACGGATGGTCATTCATTTTTTTGGGGGGTTTTTTTGCATGCTAGTCTCATATCAAAAATGAAGAGGTTATTAAAGCTCCGAAAATTTTCGTAAGACAGAATACAACTTTGGAAATGTTGTATTGTAATGTCTTCTCTAGTGTCCGAGCACGCGTGGTCTTTGTCTTCTGATTTTTTTCGGATGGAAAAATCATTCATTCTGGTATTGTATGAGAGAGAAAAAGTTTTGTTTTGTCCCTTCAGATAATTTTGCATGAACTGTCGTGATCGGCTCTCGAAAGCTGTGCACTAATGATCAAATTACGATCACTTTGAAAGCGGTATTTTTCTTCCAGTTTTCTAATCGTGTGTAGTAGTGTGTGGGGGTTACATTAGTTTTCTTTTTCAGGCTAAGAACATATTTGTTGATCTTGCTAGAAATTCAGTGTCTTTGCTCCTTCCTGTGAGCCACAAAAGAAAGCACAAACCGTGTTATCTATCTTGTGTAAACTACTAATCAGCCCCCAGGTAATGTAGATGAACAAATGCAGACGAGCATAAAGTCTAGGTCCCTCCACAGATGCAGTGGAGGAGTATACTGCACCCCCTACATACCCTTCCTGGGACAGGAAGTGTATTTTTCACAGGATCGTCAGGTAAAATAAAGGGAAAAAAGAAAACTAAGAGGCACCTTAGAACTGGTACACTACAATATATTACATGTGTGTGTGTTTGTTGGGATTTAAATGTGCTTTAATGAATATGCCAGATCATTCATTCTTTTGCATTCAGTAGTCAGACTATTATAGAATCCTGGCATGTTTCCAGATCTTTTATACTTCTTTTTTTTCTGCCTCAATTTGCTTGCAACATGTTATCTGTTCTGTAATAATGCTGTAATAATGCTGTATTCTTTGTACTATTATTTCTCAGTTGTACTCTTATTCCTGTTTCTCTTATTTCTCTTTCTTTTCACCTAATGAAAGTATTTTGGGGCTCACCTCTTGAAGACTGTTCGCCTACTTCGACTCCTTCGCCTTCTCCCACGATTAGATCGATATTCTCAGTACAGTGCAGTTGTACTTAGCCTCCTCATGGTTGTATTTGCTCTTCTAGCACACTGGGTGGCTTGCATCTGGTATTTTATTGGTCAGCAAGAAATTGAAAGCAACCAGTCGGAAGTGCCAGAGATTGGTGAGCTTGCATTGTATATTATATAATGCAGTTTTTTATATGGTAGCGATAGTTGTTTAAAATGTAAACTTACATACAAATGTAGACATATTTAGTGCATACTGTATATGGATGCCCAAAACTGTATATTATAATGGCTGGTAATAGGGTTAAAAAAGGAAAATGGTTCCACCTAGAAAAACATCCTTAATGCCAAAGATCTTGTATAGTATATTAAAAACAGTGCAAGAAAATTAATAGCGTTTTTTTGGAACCAATGAAAGAATTCCTTGCTCTACTCCATATTTCAGAAAACCAAAGGGAGTTCCCAGTTTGCAGAAATGTGGATTAGCACAAATCGTACAGCTGACTCTTTATACAATGCAGCGGAGACCTCCACTGTGTGTATTTCTAAAAATCCCAAACTGCAGTCCACTGCCAATTTCCTCTCCCCTATCTTCCTCCTTTCCCATGCCCAAAACATTTGAACCCTTGAATGCAACACAACTTTCAGATCTGGGATAACTGGCAATTCTCCGGAAAACAACTTCTTCCCCTAATTGGTCCACCCATAACTTTAAAGGACAGCCTTTAGGGTCCTATCACACTTATGTATATTCAGCTTAATGGAATTTCTACCTGGAATGCATTTTCATGCAGTAAAACGTATGCATTTTAATGCAGGAAAACCAACAACTGTGAATTGCCCACAACTCAGACCAGTTTCTTTCCTACTAAGGAATAACAATTCACTAAACCAGATTACCTCTTTTTAAAAGGTTTGTTTTTCTATTCCCCTTTACATTTAGATCATTTTTATATTTTATTCACACAAGACTGCTTACACAGCTCATAAACATTTCCACTGGTAAATTGGACCATGACCTACCTTCCAAAGGCCTTTAAAAGATCAGTTATAGTTGGATTAGTTGCTGAACCATTGATCTGGAATACGTTTGCTGATCAGAAGCTCATGTGACCCCTTTCTTTTCCTTCTGTATTTAGTCCAATAACTGTTTATGAATTTTTTTTACAAATTTACAGGAGAACATTGCAATAGATTGCCCATTAGAGGGTATAATCAAATTCAATGGGTGGATATTGTTTTATCCAGGAGGCATGTATTTGGACAATTGGGTATCTGATTATTTTAGATTCCCAATGACTGAACCTAATTTCCTCATCATATGGAGGAAAGTGGAAGTGGTCATAAAGTGTCATTGCATATCCAAATTGATATTAATTGTATGCAAGAGTTGTCTTTGATCACCTGTAAGAAATTCATTGGTGGTTTATGAGCACTCTTGCACTAGTCATAAATCCTTTGTTCCCCCTGTGACCTCATTGGCTTTCTGTAGGAGGTACCGTACTGCTTTCTCTTCAGCTGAAGAAATACAAAATGTGTTAAATATTCAAGTCTCTGGAGCAAATTACATCAGTTCTAAGATGAGGAATGTCACAACCCCATTAATGCAGTGTATTTTTTTTTTTTTTTTTTTTTTTTTTGCAGGTTGGCTTCAAGAGCTGGCCCGTCGTTTGGAAACCCCTTACTACATGGGAAGAAAAAATATCAGCAGGCACTTGTCACCTACAAACAATGACAGTGAAGACACTTCAAATGAGACTGCTCTTGTGTTATTAGGAGGGCCATCTTCCAGGAGTTCATACATCACATCCTTGTACTTTGCACTCAGCAGTCTAACCAGTGTTGGGTTTGGGAATGTTTCTGCTAATACAGACACTGAGAAAATCTTCTCCATCTGTATCATGCTGATTGGAGGTATGTGTTTATCATGGAGAACAAAATTACATATATACTCCATACACAGATTTTTTTTTTTTGATTTTTTTTTTTTTGTTCGCTCAGCCTGCAAGCTGAACAAAATAAATCTGATTCCTCCATTTATGTCATACATTGATTAAATGTAGCTGCTGTTTGACTGATTTTCTGTCCAGCTTCTTTAATTTTTCAATTTAAGGATGTTGGGCGGGCAGGGGCTGACAGGGTCACCCAGGGAGTGAATTTTTCCAGTTCCTCGGGAACTGAGCAGAGTATGACCAGCTTAAGAATGCATGGGAGCCTGGATGAGAACACAATTGCTGAACCTTTTCTAAGTTGCTGCATTCTCGATGACTTGCAGTGAACCTGAGAAATATCACTTGTGAAGTTGTAAAGATAGCTGATAAGCTGTTACTTATCTATTTAATGGAAGTGTAAGATTAAAGTAAGAACTGCAAAGATGGTTACTGTGCTAATCCTACAACTTTGCCATTGCTTTTTGTTCCCGATTACCTATTCTTATAGCAAGAGTCATTAGAATCCAAACCAGCCACACTAAATAATAAGGGACTGGAGTTTCAATTAGACCTAGCATATAAGGAACATGTCTTTTTCTGTATTTGACCAAATGTCTTACACCCTGTGGAGTAATCATGTTTAAGCTGTATCAGAGATAAGAAAATAAAATATATGTACAGAGCATGAGCACACCCATGGACACTCAACCCAGTCATGCTAACCTTACTGGCAAATGCCAAATTGGAAAGATGATCAGTCCAAGCATGTTAGTGAAGAGCACAATTCTCTAAAACCAATGGAGGGGGGTAATGACAAAGATCCTGCTCTTTGCATACTCATGGGCCTGTTATTGGTAGCCTATCCTCTAATCACTAGTGCTTATATTTTTAACTGTGCAGCTAGTTCAGTTCTTGCTCGTCTCTGAGAGAGGTAGCCGGTGGCCATTGGGGTCTGGAGGATAGAAGAACACCTCATCGTTTCCATCCCTGCATAATACCAGATGATACCTGATAAATGTTCTTTGCACATTGAAACACAAAGGAATTCTGATAATACTATCCTTTGCGTGCTTAAAGTATCTGTTGGTATACCGACACATACAGTACCTGCCTAGTTAAGAGCAGAACCTGCTGAGATAGTATCAAATGAAAGTCATTCTAATTATTTAGATATCGTTACCTATCTTACTACTTCAGTGTTTCTTTTTATTTAATATCACTTCCTTAATATTCACTTTGTTAAATTATTGTTAATTAGTGAGCAGAGCAAGGCAGATTCCTGATCTCTGCATGTGTGGGATATTTCTATGGAGACAGTGTATGCATACATGCGTGGGTGTATGTGTGTGCATATGCTGGCTGGTGAAGGGTCTCCTAGTCAGGGTATTAATAGCTGCAGCAGAAGCTTTAAACTGAAAAAGTTATCCATACATATCCCTAGCAGCTTCTTAGCAACACACTGCTCTACCAGTTAAAGTGTCAACTGTGTGCAGCAATGGAATATATAAACTAAACACTAACTGTAAAACACTGGCATTATGTAATCCTGGCTACAGATTTTAGAACTCAAGAATAAGATTTACAAATAACTGTGCAGTCGGTAAACCTATACTAAGCAATCCATTTAAATTGAAAGCATGTGCCCAGACAATTTTTTAAGTTTTCAGTGTAGTTAACTTGTAGGTATAGTTTAGTGATTTATATTTGGCAATGATTTGGGGTGTGGCTGCTCCACAGACTCCTTATATCTACGGAATCATTAACCACACTTTGATGCTTTACGGTAACATGGCTAATGGCATTTTCTGTTTTTCAATTGTTTTTAATGTCAAACTGTTTTTTTAGGGTATAGTCAACTAAATAAAATAGTTTCTATATATTTAAAGTTGTTATAATAGCTTTTTCTTGTTTTACGATATTTGATTGTTTTTCTTCTATACAGGGTTCTATTTCTTTTTGCATTTTATGTCTATATAATCTTCACAAGAAAAAATAATGCAGGTCGTGCTAAAGCATACAAAATTCAGAGATATTTTACAATTTCATTGTATTAGCAAGGGTGCATAGTTAATTAGAGTGAACCTGTGTCCAGACTATGGACATTAAACCATTTACATATTCCAATCAAGACATAAAACAGCTTTGAAACAAGCCAACCTTTTTAGCTGCTGTTAATGGGAAGTTATTCATTCTCAAATATCACAAGAACTCTACATTATGGTTCCCATTGGCTTCTAACAGCTTAGAAGCATCTGCTGTGTATTTACATTTGAGGCCTGACAGGCTGCCAAGGCATTGTTTCATAGAAAGCTGATATTTCATTGACTGTGTTGTGAACTTTGAAAATATAATGCTTTTAGATACATAGACAAATGAGGACTTGTTTTAAAATAGAGGCCCCCCAAACACAAAAATCCAAGGTGCAGAAAGCACTGCATGCATGTCCATTAACATCGTAAAAGTAATTGTGTCTAGTCATTAGCCCCTGGGAAGGCAATGTCACTAGTTGGGATGAATTCAAAGTTTAGTCCAAACAGAGGTTTAGACTGAACTTTGGTTGTTTGGGCGTTCTTCCAAACACCTGACTTTTAGCCTGTTTGGCGGGATCCAAACATCATATCTAATGGCAGTATTTCTACTGCTTCTATTTGTCAATGGTTGCTAAGGAAGCAGTGGTGCTGGCACCTGCTGTGTCCTTTGCAACCAGTGGTGTCAATGAGTGTATTGTTTTTTGTTTTTTTTTCCTGTATGGGGTACTATGTTCCCATTATTTATTCACATGGGGGGAGGTATCTGGGTGCTCCCATACTGTAGTTCTGATAAACACTCTGCCCGCACACCCCCCCAAACCCTAGCACTTCAACATGGGGACAAGGTGCTTTGTCAGTGGTGTCCCCCCTGGTATGGTACTCCCCCATGTTCAAAGCCCTCATTTTGCTGGCAATTTAACTGGGTGTATACATTGGCCATTTTAAAAGTAAGGTTAAGGACATTCCCTCAAGGCATGTTTTGTAAAGGAATTTTGCAATTTTAATTGACTTTAGTTGACTTTAAAGCATTATTAAAATTTCTGCTTCCTGGCAACTAAAAAAAAAAAAAAGTTTTGTTTTGGTACATACTTCTCAAGGCAGTGCTCAGCTCCCAATGCTTTTTCTTTAACAATTTCTTGTCTATTAGCCTAGAAAATGGCCATAACTGGTTTCTAACATTCGGCTACCATTGATTTCAATGGTGTTCAGATTTGGCATATTCTGAAAACCCACCTCAAACCAAACCCAGGTACGTTCAGTTCATCCCCAGTCATCAGCGTTTTCAGGGAGATCTCGCTCATGCACCATATGAGACCTGGTGAGAGCTTCTTAGTAGTTCAGATACTGCATAACATCACATGCAGATGCCATTGATGGGCTGGCACAGGATGAGGAAAAAGAAGCCAGCTGATTACTTTTTTTTTTTTAAAATGGCTGTGTGGGTTTTTCATCTGAACTGGGAACACACCAAGAAGACTATATAAAACACAAAAGCAATAGAGAAGTAACTAAGTCTATTGTTTTTTTAAATATACTGAAGATTGAAATGCTGTTATCAGTCTTAGTAAGGCAGTGGGGAGTGCTTTAAGCGTGTTTTTAAAATATTTAGTGTGCATCATCTGGGCACAGGTACACTTTAAGGTCCATAACTGGTTAGGACATGATCATATACAGTATCTTACAGAAGCGAGTTCACCCCTTTTTTTTGTAAATATTTATTTATATCTTTTAATGTGACAACACTGAAGAAATGACACTTTGCTACAATGTAAAGTAGTGAGTGTACAGCTTGTATAACAGTGTAAATTTGCTGTCCCCTGAAAATAACTCAACACACAGCCATTAATGTCTAAACCGCTGGCAACAAAAGTGAGTAAGCCCCTAAGTGAAAATGTCTAAATTGGGCCCAATTAGCCATTTTCCCTCCCCGATGTCATGTGACTAGTTAGTGTTACAAAGTGAAAGGGGAGTAGGTGTTATCGCTCTCACTCTTTCATACTGGTCACTGGAAGTTCAACATGGCCCCTCATGGCGAAGAACTCTCTGAGGATCTGAAAAAAATAATTGTTGCTCTACATAAAGATGGCCTAGGCCATAAGAAGATTGCCAAGACCCTGAAACTGAGCTGCAGCACGGTGGCCAAGACCATACAGCGGTTTAACAAAACAGGCCTCACCATGGTCGACCAAAATAGTTGTGTGCATGTGCTCAGCGTCATATCCAGAGGTTGTCTTTGGGAAATAGACGAGTGCTGCCAGCATAGCTGCAGAGGTTGAAGGGGTGGGGGGTCAGCCTGTCAGTGCTCAGACCATACGCCGCACACTGCATTAAATTGGTCTTCATAGCTGTTGTCCTAGAAGGAATCTTCTTCTAAAGATGATGCACAAGAAAGCCTGCAAACAGTTTGCTGAAGACAAGCAGACTAAGGACATGGATTACTGGAACCATGTCCTGTGGTCTGATGAGACCAAGATAAACTTGGTTCAGACGGTGTTAAGTGTATGTGGCGGCAACCAGGTGAGGAGTACAAAAACAAGCATGTCTTGCCTACAGTCAAGCATGGTAGTGGGAGTGTCGTGGTCTGGGGCTGCATGAGTGCTGCCGGCACTGGGGAGCTACAGTTCATTGAGGGAACCAAGAATGCGAACATGTACTGTGACATACTGAAGCAGAGCATGATCCCCTCCCTTCGGAGACTGGGCCGCAGGGCAGTATTCCAACATGATAATGATCCCAAACACACCTCCATGATGACCACTGCCTTGGTAAAGAAGCTGAGGGTAAAGGTGATGGTTTGGCCAAGCATGTCTCCAGACCTAAACCCTATTGAGCATCTGTGGGGCATCCTCAAATGGAGGTGGAGGAGCGCAAGGTCTCTAACATCCACCAGCTCCATGATGTCATCATAGAGGAGTGAAAGAGGACTCCAGTGGCAACCTGTGAAGCTCTGGTGAAATCTATGCCCAAGAGGGTTAAGGCAATGCTGGAAAATAATGGTGGCCACACAAAATATTGACACTTTGGGCCCAATTTGGACATTTTTACTTAGGGGTGGACTCACTTTTGTTGCCAGCAGTTTAGACATTAATGACTGCTTGTTGAGCTATTTTGAGGAGCCAGCAAATTTACATTGTTATACAAGCTGTACACTCACTACTTTACATTGTAGCAAAGTGTCAGTTTTTCAGCGTTGTCACATGAAAAGATAGAATGAAATATTTACAAAAATGTGAGGGGTGTACTCACTTCTGTGAAATACTGTACGTGTAATGTACAAAGTGGGGACCGTGACCCAATTACTGCCTAGAGTCAATGATGGTTTCAGCACTGACTATGATAGTATAGCTTAGTGTACCTATGATTATGGTTCTACAGTTACTTGCTTTTTTCTGTTTTTGTTAACTATGCATCAATGCAGTAACCTATGGCATCCAAACTTTTCCACGCTTTTTCCTGTACTAAATACATAAAAGGGAATTGCTGTTTACAGGGTGTTTTTCTAATGACTATTTAGTGAATAACCATGCTGCTTGTGCATTATTCTAATGTCTTCTAGCCCTGATGCATGCTCTGGTGTTTGGAAATGTCACAGCTATCATCCAGCGTTTGTATGCAAGGCGCTTCTTGTATCACAGCCGTACTCGGGATCTTCGAGATTATATCCGTATCCATGGCATCCCCAAACCTCTAAAACAGCGCATGCTGGAATATGTTCAGACCACGTGGGCAGTGAACAATGGCATTGACACTAATGAGGTAAGAAAAGCTTTGCATGTATTAGAATTTGTCATGACTTAATTCCGTTTTGCACACTTTCTGTTTGTGTTGGTGCTATTTTATTTTTTGTTTAGTAAGCCTATAAAACTAAGATCTGGAATGTCTGCTGTTACCATATTAGTCATTAATACAGTATACATTAGCACGTATGGCAACATCGTTACTTTGCATGGATAGTCTGCACAGTAAAAGTCAGCAGTAGAGTTACAGGGAATGCATTGTCGTTTTCTGCATATATGTTATGACATTATGGTCTAAAAGAAATAATCAATTAAAAAAAAAAATGTTTTCAACTGCATAGGGATATTTAGTATTTTCACATACAGCCAGCAATTGGAGCTCCTAACACCTTGCCCAGGCACTCGTTGGGTATTTTGTGGTAAAAAGTCCATTGTTTAGACTTCTCAATAACTCAAAGCTAAACTTCAGTATAAACAAATGTTATCTACATTCAAGAGCCATGTGCATTTTTACTTAAATCTCTCTCTAATCTTGTGCAGGGTAACTGGTCTTTTATCTGCCCCCTCCTGTAGTTTTCTGAAGGCAGCCTGTAGTGAGTAGACCTGCCGGGTCTCTCTCACAGCTCTGCACAGGCTGTGTGCAGCACAGTAAGGATACCACTACTTTTGCAAGGCAATGCCTAGATTTGTAAAGGCATTTGGTGCACACAAAGTGTATTTGTATCCTTTGTAGGCAATATATTTAAATGAAAGTTATTCTGAAGTTCAGCTTTAGAACATTTACACAAGTGAATAAATCAGGGGCAGTCACTAAATCCCCTCTCTCCCTTCCCTTCATTCAGCTTGAAGACAGGTGTAGTTTGGCCTCCCTACATAGATGGCACTGTTCATCAGCTACCATGCAGAGAGAGTGGAGGGCAAGGGGAACCCATGCCTGCGTAGGTGTCATCAGGAATGTAGCTGCCTGATTGGATGCTGCTACCTTGGTTGACCCCTGCGGCCATCTTTGGTGTGGGAAGTACTAATAAATAGCACTGTTGGAGCAAAATTTTGTGGAGTGGCTAGATCAGGGACAGAGTGCCTAGCGTAGGGAGAGGTTACAGTGGAGATGGGACAGAGAAGGGCCTGTCGCTTGTATCTTGGGCAGGAGCCCCTCCTCATCCAGGTGCCTGGTTGCTGGTCTGCCTCTTCTGTCAGATGCTGTTGGACACACAGCAGTGTGTACGGCTATCCTCTGCACAGTTCCCTGTAAGTATTGCCAGGCTGGTGTGGCCGTGTATACAGACTTTGTACTATATTCTCGGAACTCACAACAATATACTTTTCCACACTACTTGGCCTCCATGTGTGTTCTGTCATCTCCCGGAACCCAGTGCTTGACCCTCCCCCCATGCTCTGCTTACGAGCTCCCTCCATCTAAGAGACAGAGGTATAGAATTCTATTAGGCCACAGCACTGAAATTGTCAGTGCTTGCACTCAATTCATCCACTTGTCAGAGACGGGTACATAAATATGTCAGTGCTCAGAACTAAGGTCAGAGTGTCTATATTTGACACTTTCTCCTGGACACTCCCTCCATAGAGTCAAAGGGGAGGTCCACTAGTGACATAAACCACACAAAACAACCCGCCATCACGCTTAACTGGCCCAACTGGAAATGAACTATGAGATTTCAGGCACTGCCTATAGTTTCTTGGGTTTGTACATTTATAAGATGCTTTGTGACTAAGGGCCTTAAGTCCAAAACATGTCATCTGCCTTTAGAACCACTTTAACCATCTAGTTGATACCAGAAGGTTTTTTTACCTCTATGAATTCTATGTATTAAGGTAAAACGCAACTCCCCCTCAGCCCCCCCAATACTTACCTGAGCTCTGAGCCCCATCTCGCTCCAGCCATGTGCATGAGAGCCATGGCTTTTCTGGGTCTCTCTCTTCTCATTGTCTCACACAGCAGAGGGAGTCATTGGCTCCTGCTGTTGTCAATCACAGCCAGTGAGCCAATTAGGAAAGAACAGGGGGTGGGGCCGAGCCCTTGCTCTGTGTGTGGACAATGTCCACTCACAGGAGCGTGGCTTGAAAGCGAGCATAAGGCTTGCTATTGGGGGCACTCGGCTGCATGGAGGAGCCAGGTCCGCCAGCAATAGACCCAAAAAGAAGAGATCAGGGCTGCTCTTTGCAAAACTATCACACAGAGCATGTAAGTATAACATGTTTGTTCATTAAAAAAAAAAATGCCAACCTTTTAGAATCGCTGTAAGTAAAATATAAATAGCTATTGTCATTATTGGATGTGTTCTGATCTATCACCCAGCCCTATTTATTGACTTTACACTTTTTATCATTATTTTCTATGTTTATTTCTGTTGAGGTTCAAACGAGTAAACAAATACCATTATTGTGCACGTTACAATGGTCTAGTTTTGCAGATTGTTCTATAAATAAATGACATGAAGGATTACAATTCAAAAAAGCAAAAGGACATGCTGACCACAGCAGCTATCAAATGCTTGCTTCTGACATGCATTGAAAATGACAGGTTGAGGCCTATAGGTTGCTATAGGCAACATCTGTACTTTCCCTTCCTCTCGTTTATTTACACAGTGCAGAATTTATTGTTTTGAGTCCTATATTTTCTTTTTTCACATTCTGCAGCTCCTGCACAGTCTTCCAGATGAATTGCGAGCTGACATTGCCATGCACCTCAACAAGGATCTGTTGCAAATGCCACTGTTTGCCCTTGCCAGCCGTGGATGCCTGCGTTCTCTGTCATTGAATATTAAACCCTCCTTCTGCACGCCTGGAGAGTATCTGATCCGACAGGGGGATGCTCTGGAATCTTTATACTGTGTGTGCTCAGGATCCATGGAAGTGCTCAAGGATGGTGTTGTCCTAGCAATATTAGGTGTGTGCTGAGGTCAAAACATGTTGTTGTGTTCATTATTTGTAACATTGTGGGAATTTAATTTAGATAATATTGACTAACACAATAAAAAGGTGAGAGCGGAGGGTGATCACTTTTATAATTGATAATTATAGCTGCACTAAAAAAACAGACAGGATTGTTTGATTTTAGAGGGTAAATCTATAACTACGGTATCAATCAAAAAAGTACCAAACAAAATTATATATTACAACTACACCATCTAACACATAAGATCTAACTTTCACCCTTGAAAGTGCAAACCAACAATATAACTCCAATATGTAGAATAAATATCCCTAAATATGTGAAACAAATATACATATAATGAACCCAAAAATTATATATAAATGAACCCAAAAATATCCAAAAATTAAAAAATAAAATAACATTTTTGATAAAAAAAAAATTATTAAAATTATAAGCCAGTCGTGTCCAAAATAAAGTCAGTCCAATCTTTGTTTCCAATAATGCAAATTTTCAGATCCTTTAGTATCGAGCCCTCCCATTGGCTCCCAAAAGGAAAGTATGTACCTCCAAAAAAGAGAAAACTCATAGTGCATTAACTTCAATATATAAATTCAATATCATACCCATATACCATATGCGCTGTGCAACATGTGATAATGTGAACACTGTGCAAAAACCGTGATAGTGCGTCACTCTGTGAATGAAATAATCCAAGTGACCATTCAGTGTACACTTCTATAATGTAAGGCATAAATACCCTTACCAAAAAATCAAATGCCTTATCAATACTGCGGAGATAAGCAACACGCTCCCACGAATTTCCTCCAAGCCTGAATAATACTCCTTACGATGTCATCAACCACCTTCTCCTAGATGTCATCATGGCTTTTAAGGAAGTACTCCATAGTACTTACAGTACCCATGCTCCATGAGAGTGATGTATAAACAGGATATAGTGTAATTCCATTATGGGATTAATAAACATACACTTTATTTACTGCTTACATTAATAAAGCATCAAAACGCTTATTCCCATGCCCTCAAACCTCTATGGTCACCGAGCAGCCTCCAAAATTGTTTGACATGTGAATACCAATATCCAAAATGGCCGACATGCCACTTCCGGTTCCTCTCCTGTGCATCCGACGTCACTTTCCTTGACGCGTTTCGTCACATTCGGGACTTAGTCATAAGGGGTGTACTCGTTGGACTGGCCAGCCGCAATTTATAGCTCTCCTCCCCACAGCTCCGGAGCTCCGGCCGCCATCTTGGGAAAGGGAAAGCCGCCCACACTATATACAATACCGAAGTCCTTTCTTGCACGATATTGTAACATTAGCGGGAATCTATCCGAAATTCAGTCGAGGCACTAATATCAACACTCTGGTTCCCCCTAATCTATAATCATGCAAAAAGAACAATACAACAATATTTTACACAGCCCACAGAATCCCGCACTTGCATCTTCCCCATATATACAGAAAAACTACACAAAGACATTCCCTAATTAAAACCATGGGGAATACTCTTATACTATATATATCTATTATTATATATCTTATGGATACATGTGTGCAGTATATCTACACACCCACATAAATAAAACCAAGGATTCCCTGCAAAGTATTGCACATATCTATACTCATAATCAAATAAAATCACTAATGTATCCTTCACTATAATACTATACTACAGTACCAATGATTAATACATATATGGACATTATTATTGAATACAGATTAAATATACGCATATTAAAATTACTATAATAAAATTACAATAAAATAATTTATTACCAAATTAAAACTAAATTGATTATAATCCCAACTATTCACAAACATTTACCAAAATCCTTTATATATATATTTTTTATATATATTTATATATATATATATATATATATATATATATATATATATATATATACAGTCAGGTCCATAAATATTGGGACATCGACACAATTCTAACATTTTTGGCTCTATACACCACCACAATGGATTTGAAATGAAACAAACAAGATGTGCTTTAACTGCAGACTGTCAGCTTTAATTTGAGGGTATTTACATCCAAATCAGGTGAACGGTGTAGGAATGACAACACTTTGCATATGTGCCTCCCACTTGACAAGGGACCAAAAGTAATGGGACAGAATAATAATCATAAATCAAACTTTCACTTTTTAATACTTGGTTGCAAATCCTTTGCAGTCAATTACAGCCTGAAGTGTGGAACGCATAGACATCACCAGACGCTGGGTTTCATCACTGGTGATGCTCTGCCAGGCCTCTACTGCAACTGTCTTCAGTTCTTGCTTGTTCTTGGGGCATTTTCCCTTCAGTTTTGTCTTCAGCAAGTGAAATGCATGCTCAATCGGATTCAGGTCAGGTGATTGACTTGGCCATTGCATAACATTCCACTTCTTTCCCTTAAAAAACTCTTTGGTTGCTTTTGCAGTCTGCTTTGGGTCATTGTCCATCTGCACTGTGAAGCGGCGTCCAATGAGTTGTGAAGCATTTGGCTGAATATGAGTAGATAATATTGCCTGAAACACTTCAGAATTCATCCTGCTGCTTTTGTCAGCAGTCACATCATCAATAAATACAAGAGAACCAGTCCCATTGGCAGCCATACATGCCCACGCCATGACACTACCACCACCATGCTTCACTGATGAGGTGGTATGCTTAGGATCATGAGCAGTTCCTTTCCTTCTCCATACTCTTCTCTTTCCATCACTCTGGTACAAGTTGATCTTGGTCTCATCTGTCCATAGGATGTTGTTCCAGAACTGTGAAGGCTTTTTTACATGTCGTTTGGCAAACTCTAATCTGGCCTTCCTGTTTTTGAGGCTCACCAATGGTTTCCATCTTGTGGTGAACCCTCTGTATTCACTCTGGTGAAGTCTTCTCTTGATTGTTGATTTTGACACATATACACCTACCTCCTGGAGAGTGTTCTTCATCTGGCCAACTGTTGTGAAGGGTGTTTTCTTCACCAGGGAAAGAATTCTTTGGTCATCCACCACAGTTGTTTTCCGTGGTCTTCCAGGTTTTTTGGTGTTGCTGAGCTCACCGGTGCGTTCCTTCTTTTTAAGAATGTTCCAAACAGTTGTTTTGGCCACGCCTAATGTTTTTGCTATCTCTCTGATGGGTTTTTTTTTTTTTTTTTTCAGCCTAATGATGGCTTGCTTCACTGATAGTGACAGCTCTTTGGATCTCATCTTGAGAGTTGACAGCAACAGATTCCAAATGCAAATAGCACACTTGAAATGAACTCTGGACCTTTTATCTGCTCATTGTAATTGGGATAATGAGGGAATAACACACACCTGGCCATGGAACAGCTGATAAGCCAATTGTCCCATTACTTTTGGTCCCTTAAAAAGTGAGAGGCACATATGCAAACTGTTGTAATTCCTACACCGTTCACCTAATTTGGATGTAAATACCCTCAAATTAAAGCTGACAGTCTGCAGTTAAAGCACATCTTGTTTGTTTCATTTCAAATCCATTGTGGTGGTGTATAAAGCCAAAAATGTTAGAATTGTGTTGATGTCCCAATATTTATGGACCTGACTGTATATATATATATATATATATATATATATATATATATATATATATATAACCATATCTTTTAATAAATCATATGAATTTACTTATAATTTTGATAATTTTTTGTGTTATTTTATTTTACATTTTTGGGTTCATTTATATATAATTTTTGGGTTCATTATATGTATATTTGTTTCACATATTTAGGGATATTTATTTAACATATTGGAGTTATATTGTTCATTTTGGAGGGAGCTAACTCAAAATGAAAAAAGTCCACTATGCAAAAGATACTAATAAGTAAATGGGAAACTGCTATATTTTAAAAACGTTTGGGGGTACTTATTTCAGATGATTGCAAAATGAGCAATGTGACCATGCAGTGGGAAAAGCGAATAGAAATCTAGGATGCATCACTAGAGGGATCGCCAGTAAGAAGGAGGTCCTGATTCCCCATATAGATCTTTAGTTAGACCTCATTTAGAATACTGTGTCCAGTTCTAGAGACCTCACTTACAAAAAGATATTGATAAGACAGAATGGGGTTTATTTACTAAAGCTGGAGAGTCCAAAATCAGACTCCCTTCTGCATAGAAAAAAATCAGCTTCTAACCTCAGCTTGTTCAATTAAGCTTTGGCAATGAAACCTGGAAGCTGATTGGTTTCTATGCAGAAGTGAGTCTGATTTTGCACTCTCCAGCTTTAGTAAATAAACCCCAATGAGTCCAGAGACAGGTAACAAAAATGGTGAAAGGTCTGGGGGATAAGACATATCAGGAAAGACTATGGAAACTTAGTATGTAGTCTGGAGGAAAGAAGAGACATGATTGAAACCTTTAAATACATCAAAGGAGGGAATAAGGTTCAGGAGGGCAGTATTTTCAATATATAACACTAAAATCAAGAACACGGGGACATGACCTAAAACTAAATGGAGGAAATTTCAAAACTAATCTTAGAGAGTATTATTTTATGAAAAGGTAGTTGATGCTTGCAATAGACTTTCAGTAGAGGTAGTTAGTCAGTCAACAGTAAGTGGTTTCTGACATGCTTGGAACAAACATACACTACATGATCAAAGGGTTGTGGACACCTGATAATCTCACATACTATATGGAAAACTTGTGTGACACCCCGTCCTACAGTAATTATTGAGTGCAGGTGTTTCCAATGAAGGTTCTTGTTAATATTTCTTTGTATGCTGTAACAATTAACTACTTCCCGCCCAGCCTATAGTGAAATGACAGCCGGGCGAACCTCATGTCCCTCTGGTAGGGTGTCATATGACGTCCTTCCCGGATAGAGCTCTGCGCGTGCCCACAAGCCCGTGGTGTGTTGAGATCTGTCACCAGCTGTGTACCTCGGACATGGCTGATGACAGATCTGTGTATCGGCCTCGTTGCCAGTACCATGTGACCTGCTGTAACCAATCACAGCAGGTCACACGACAGTTGTATACAATGGATGGTTCCCTTTTATGCCTTCCCATTGTATACAACAGTGTCCAACTGTGAATGGTCACAGTGATCACATGCACAAGCTGGGCCAGTCAGAGTCCATCTGTGTCATGTGATTAGCCATGGCCAATCACCGCTAATCACAACAAAAAAAAAGCTGAATGAATCGATTTCATTCAGTTAAATGCTTGCTTATAACAAAGAAATTCTTTGCTATAAGCAATCAAATTGTGTAAAGAAAGAAAAATACTGATTACTTCCCCAAAGTATTACAATGTTACTATGGTAACATTATACTACTTTGGTCATAGTGTAATATGAAAAAAACCTTAAAGACAAAAAATGTAATAAAAAATAATTGAAAAGAATTGAAAAAAAGAATGATGAAGCTGTACTGCACTGGTGACAGTATGTTAAAAAAAAAATTGGGGGGAATTTTTTTATTTTCTTTTTCTAAAAAATTATGACAAAAAAATTACAACTTAAAAAAACTTGCCATGCCTCTTATGAAATACGTCAAACTGTCTACTTTGCAAAAAGGGGTCATTTGAGGGATGTCTGTACTGTTCTGACATTTTTGAGCCTCAAGAAATTAGATTGGCCGTCAGTACTTCAGGATTGATCAATTTTCAGATATATCCCATAGTTTGTGAACTCTATAACTTTCCTACAGACTAAATAATAAACACTAATTTGGGTTATTTACACCAAAAAAAGTAGCAGAATACATCTTGGCCTAAATTTATGAAGAACAATTATTTATTTGCAAACTTTTATAACAGAAGCAAAGAAACGTGGGGGGCTTTTCCAAAATTTTCATCCTTTTTTTTTGGTAATTTAGCAAAAAATAAAAACCCCAGTGGTGATTTAATACCAACAAAGAAAGCTCTAGTTGTGTGACCAAAATGATAAAATTTTAGTTTGGGTACAGTGTTGCATGACCGCGCAATTGTCATTCAAAGTGTGAGAGCGCTGAAACATGAAAATTGACAACTGTGTGCTTCCAATCTTGTGATGACAGTTTTAAAACGTGACTGTGGCCAAAAATCAGGTCCAAAATTTTATAGTTTGATCAGCTTGGTGTGGAAGATCCTGAGTTGCCTTCACAAAGCCTTGACCTCAACCCTATTGAAAATCTTTGGGATATACTCAAATGCCTATTGTGTGCCAGGCCTTCTAATTTAAGACCTCACAAATGCTCTTTTTACTAAATGGGCCAAATTCCCATAGACATGCTTTCCGGTGGAACCTGTTATAGCCCCAAAGTGTTGTTCAGTTGTGTATCAATGCTCATGGTTTTGGAATGGCATATTTAACAAACTTGTATATTGTACTGTAGGTGTGATTGGTCAGGTGTCCACAAACGTTTGATCATATAGTGCAGATCTATACTCAAACAAAACAATGACAAAAAAAACGAGAAAACAAAAAGAAACTGGAAGACTCCCTGGACCGCTTGGTCTTTTTTCTGCCGCCACTCTTCTATGTTTCTGTATTTGAATTGTATTTTAATTTGCTCTGTAATCTATTGCTCTATTTTATTAGACAAATGAAGCCAAATAGCAGACATGCCCCTCAAAGTGCTACAGGTTTTTTGGTCTAAGATTGGAGTGGTTGTAAACCCTTTCATATGCCAGTGCAGTGACTGGCCTCAGGTGATACACAGAGATGAAACAAGTCCTCCTACATTAGTTGTACCTATCTTCATTATTTCTTCTCTACATATGTTCAAAGTGCAGAATTTGTACATCTCAGAATTCAGAAAAAAGGGGGCAGGAAGCTGAAGTGGCACTTTGCAGCGATCAGTGAGAACTCTGAAATCTGATTGAAGGGAAACACCCCCTTCACACAACACATAGGAACAGAGCTGAGGCTGTCAATCAGCTGGAGCTCACACCCCTGTCACCATTTTTCTCTTGGTGTCAGGAAAACTTGTCATAAGTAGCTCGTGCTGAGAGCAGAGGAACAAGGCAGCAAACTGAAATGACACTTAGTGCTCTTAACTGAGACAAGTACACACTATATATAGATAGGCTTTGTTTATATTTCATGTCTGAGGTTTCCAACCACTTTAACATAACTGATCAAACACTCTTATAGTCATCAGAAAGATGTACTGTACATCAGTGGGCCATTACATTTCTGATCCAATGAACATATTCTGTCATCAATGTAAACTAACATTTGGTATCTTGTTAATCATTTCAGTATTTGCTCTCTGCAGGTAAAGGTGACTTGATTGGCTGTGAGGTCTCCTGTGAAGACTCTGTGATTAAAGCTAATGCAGATGTCAAAGCTTTGACTTACTGTGACCTTCAAGGGATCAGTCTGAAGGGTCTTCGTGACACTCTGTCACTCTACCCAGAATATGCACATAAATTCACCGGTCAAATTGTACACCAGCTCAGCTACAACCTGGGAAGCAGCAGATGTGAGCCAGAGGTAAGTGAGAGATAACCACAAGGTGAAACATATATTGAGCAAATAGACAAGTCAGACTGGAAGCTGAATTCTGTTTGGCTCTTATAGGTTACTGCACATTGTCACCTAGCTATTAAACAAGGGCCAAAAGTCTTAGATTGCACGTGCACACGAGTCAGCTGCTGAGTCATCCTTGGCCAAGCTGTGTCTTCAACAAAATATATCTAACAAAAAACAAAGTCTAGAAGAGACATATGGTAAATGTGTACTAATAAACGCTTACCAGTCATATAAAAATCTACAGAGTAAGTTGCATGCCACCACCCATTAAAACAACTTTTGTCTATGATACACATACCACTGCTCAACCTATCCAAGCAATCAACAATGTACGATGTTGAAATGTGCAAATATAACACAATCCTCAGTTACTGCAATACTGGCCCTCAAATGTACATAGAAGATACCAATATCAAAGCGAGGGAATATAGTCTTTTTGCAGCATCTACTATCTTTTAGCATGCTAACCATCCTTAATAGATAATGTCAGTACATTCATTATCTTAAAGCCACCTCCATTTCACTCTGCAACTTGCATAACTGAGCTGCTAACAGCAGTGTTCCAAGGTAGTAGACAGATGAATAAATAAGTGATCAGTGACAACCAGGGGCGGACTGACCATTTGGAAACTTTGACACTGCCTGAGGGCCCGGGGTCAGTAGGGGGCCCCATGAGATGCCCCTGGTACCTTTTTCATAGGCTTTTTTGAGTTTGGGCAAGGACACAGGGGCCCCATGATCCCCTATTGCCCGGGGGCCCGATGAGTTGTCAGTCCACCCTGGGTGACAACTATAACTATAGGTAAGTCCATACACTTACAAGGATCTTTAGTTCACTAAGATACAGTATATCCGGTATATGTTTGTCAGTTACCAGCCCTGTAGATTTGCTCAAACTAGACACGCACTTCTAATTACTGAATATCTGTGGTGCTATCTCAAGGTCATCCTACATTTCAACATTATTGGCCATATGATACATCAACAGTGTATTTAATATTTTGCCTAGATTTTTGATTTGATAATTTTAAAAAAACTTGGCGTGTAAGTGCCTTTAAGATAGAGGCTGTAAAGCAAAGGGGCCTAGAATTTCTTTCTGAGTCCGTGTTTATATATGTTTTTGCTCCTCAAAATAATGCTGCATAATTCTGAAAATAATACTATGCCTTTACCTTCCTACCAGACTCGAATCCATACTGAACATTCTTCAAGGACAGATCTGCCAGACAAAGCTTCCCCAAAGTTAAAGGCTTCAGCCCTCACCCCAAAGAACTCCCCTCACCTTCGCCTCTCTCCATCTCGATATTCTAGCTGCAGTCCACAACACAGATCTCAGGAAGTGACTCCAAGACGGACTCCTCACAGGGAGACCACTACTGAACTTCATATACCACTGATGTCCCAATCGAGGCCACCAGATCTGAGCCCAAGGTACAGCACACATGTAACAAAGCTTCTACAAATTTCCATTTATAAGATCACATTTCATTCATAGATGCTGTAGTACTGGCTTCTATGAATGGAGCAGCTGGGCAGAAAGGGCAGGCATAGCCGGACTCTCTTGATGAGAGCCTGTGACAGCTTCCACAATTCTATTAACCCCTGTCGCCCTGGAAGATTACGATTGTAATAGGGAGTGGAGCTGCATGAATGGAGGATTTCACCTAAGGGTCACATCCTACTGTAAGCTATGTCCCTTGTGCTAATGTTGTGGGGTTTTTTTTTATTTTGGCTGCACTTAGGCTTTAGGTAGAACTGTGACCAGGCTTTAGGCATTCAACTATTTACATATTTTAACAACTTAAATAAGCTTTAAAACAAGTCCTCATTGACCTCTGTAGCTGTGGACAGTGTGGAGCAATTAATCCTCAAAAGATTAAAGTGGTAGCAAATTTTAAATTTGTATTTACAGGTAAGCTTTAAGTGTTTGTACAGACTGACAGTTTTTTTTACCTTCTAATACTTACCTGAGCCCCCTCTCAATCCTGTGCACGGAAGCCTTGCCTCTTCCAGGTCTCTCTCTCCTTATTGGCTTAGACACAGCTGTGGGAGCCATTGTGAGGAGCGAGTGGGGGGTGCACTCAGTGGGGGGAGTGTCCAGGAGCGCCAACAGGGGAACCGAGAAGGGGAGGATCGGGGCTGCTTTTTGCAAAACTGTTGCACAGAGCAGGTAAGTATAGACATGATTGTTAAAAGAAAAACAAAGAGCCTTGTATATCACTTTAAAATATGTCTTACCTGTAGGTTTAGTGAATATCTCCTAAACTTGCGCTGTTTAGAAGATATTCACATCGGCTCTGGCTATGACTTTTCCCTGCGCAGGCATAGTGACTCTGTATCCAGGGCAGTGTGCCATGAATGCAGGCACCGCTCCACAATAGTGACTCTTGTGCACATACATGGGAATAATATCATTATGGCCTGGCCATTTAAATGGCCAGAGAGCACAAAACCAGCACTGGGGGGCTCCATGTGAAAGGCAAGTCAGTCATAATGTGCTAACTTGCAGTGCATACTGACACAATATTGCATAAACCTGCAGGGGGACCTTAGTTCTCAGCACTTTTTCTTCCAGATTAGAAGGCTGGTAGGTTGCCAAGCCACTGTTGGGAATCGAGACACAAAACCTCTAGAGCTAAAATAGTTTCACTTTAATTTTTCACAGTAGAGGAATAATTTCTCCACAATGCCCCTAGATACAGATATCAATGAGGACTTCTTTAAATTGGTAATAAAACCCTTACATATACTCAGTAAAGTGACTGGCCTCAGGTGATACACGGAGATGAAACAAATCCTCCTATATAAGTTGTACCTGTCTATCAGCAGTCTTTTCTTCTCTACATCCTGTTTATCTGCAGTCTTCTCTTCTCTACATCCATTCAAGGTCCAGAATTTATAAAGCTTGTCTACGATTTCAGAAAGCAGGGGGTAGAGAGCTGAAGTTACACTCTGCAGAGCTCAGTGAGGAGAGCTCTGAGATCTTATTGGAGGGAAGGGACACACCCCCTTCACATAGCTTACAGGAACAGAGCTGAGGCCGTCAGTCTCGGGCTGTGTTGTTGGAAGTCCCTCCCCTGTCACCATTTTTCTCTTGGTGTCAGGAAAACATATCAGAGGTGATTCATGCTGATAGCAGAGAAATAAAGCAGCAGACAGAAATTGCACTTAGTGCTCTTAATTGAGACAAGTATACACTATAGAGGCATATGATTTGTTCATATTTTATGTCTGAAGTTTCCAAACACTTTAACCACTTCCTTACTGAGCCATAGCCAAAAAATGTCTACAGCATGGCTCTGTTGTTCTGGGAGGGCGTCCATGGCCCCTCTGCATGCCCCCTGTGGCGCACTCTGTGATCACTGTGTCCTTTGGCCCTTTATCGTGATCTGTGATCAACTGTGTCCAATCACAGTGACCCTTTACATTATGGTCAGCTGTAATTGGACACAGCTAATCACATAGTAAACACACTTGGCAGTTATTGGCAGTAGTTTCCTGAAGTGCTGTTACAGCGTGAGGAGAGGACAGCTGGTAACTGGCAGGTATGACGGGCATGTACACAGATAATCAGGGCACTGATCATCAGTGCCCTGATTATCAGAGCTGCCTATCGGTGTCCATCAGTGCTGCCCATCAGTGTTCAGCAGTTCTGCCTATTATTGCCCCTCAGTGCCACCTATCAGTGCCCATCAGTGTCATTCATCATTGCCACTTCATCATTGCCCATCAGTGCAGCCTATCGGTGTCCATCAGTGCAGCCTCATCAGCGTACATCAGTAAAGAAGACAAATTACGTACTTGCTACATTTTAAACCAGAAACTAAAAAATATTTTGTTGAGCAAAAAATAAAAAACCCAGTAGGGAATAAATACCACCAAAAGAAAACTATATTTGTGTGAAAAAAATATAAAACCTTTTATTTGGCTACAGTGTTGCATGACCGCGTAATTGTCATTCAGAGTGTGCCAGCATTGAAAGCTGAAAATTGGCCTGGGCAGGAAGGGGGGTGAAAGTGCATGGTATTGAAGTGGTTAAAGCATTTTTTAGTAGGGTTATTCAAAGCATTTTACTCAATCAAAAAATACACATATCACTTCAGTATTGCGATTATTACTAATTTATAATCGAAAATTTCCCCGTGCTTTTCATCTAACCACAGTTATTCACCCATACCTGTTTTTTATGCAAACCTCCTTTACTTTGCAAGCTATACTTTTTATAAATGTAGGAGAATTTACATTTTTATTCAGAGACCTTTCTTGCATAGCCATAAGGGTAATAAGATATCAATGTTTCTGACCAATCAAGTGCAAGATATTTCATATGCTTAAGTACTGAGTTATTCTAATTTCAAAGTGATGCTAATGAGCACTGTATATAATGTTTGATGCACAATCACCCTGCACATTCCTAAATATGTTCAAGTTGCTCTTTCTTCCTACAGGGTTGTTGATGGCATAGAAGAAACAACTGGTGTAGCCCAGCAAAAGTTTACATTTTCTAACTGTAGCTCCCTTTCTAATGCACCAGGTAAGGCCGCCTGTATGGAAAATTTCAGGAAACCACTACTTTCAGTAAACAATAAACAATAAATGACCTGTTTCTGCCTTTTTTTTTTTTTTTTTTTTGCTTTATGTCAAAGTTAACAATGCCCATCAGGATTTGATTTGTATTGTACTGTAAATCACCCCTCTGATTCTAACTAGAGGCTATAAAGGCAGGGCTTTTTTGAGCTGGAACTTAGTAGTGAGCAGGAAGCAGAGAGCCTGAGCCAGAGATGATAGAACTGAGTTCTACCATCTCTGGCTCAGGCTCTCTGCTCTCTGCTCACTACTATCACTTGTAAAAGAAGAAGCTGGACTTCTGTCTTTACAAATGACAGCTTGTCTCCCCTTGGCTCTCATAGATCTGATTTCCTGAGCAGCTCCCACTGAGTGCAGTATGGGGACAAGGGAGATGCAGGTGCCCAGGG